TATATATACACACACTGTACACACACACACACTATATATATATATATATATATATATATATATATATATATATATACACACACTACACACACACACACACTATATATACACAATATATATATATACACACACTGTACACACACTATATATATATATACGCACACTACACACACTACACACACACACTATATATGTATATACACACACTGTACACACACACACACTATATATATATATATATATATATATATATATATATATATATTTATGAACCTACTCTATTTGTAATAAAAATTTTGTTTATTGATTTAGCCCGTTGGATTAGCCCAACAACCCGTTGTTTAGGGTTAGGGCCAACCCAACTCAAAAATAAAAAATAAAAAAACCATTTAGCCCAAGCCAACAAGTCCACCAACCTTGTAGGGCTAGCCCAAAACCCAGCGGGCTAGCCCATTTGACATCCCTAATTTGAACCCACTAGGGTATTTACATAATTGACCCAACAAATGAAGAATCGCCTAGATTTCTGACAAATTCAATGAAAAGGTTTTACCTGTAGACTGGCTAAGAATGTTGTGTTAAAGACATAATAGGAGGTTGTTGCCAAGAATCTGAAAATTCAAGGGTAGTTATTACTTGTTAACTTCCATAGGAATCAAGATTTAAGAGATCTTGAAAGTTGAAACTCTTGGTAACTCCCCCACGTGTTGAGAAGAAATAATTGAGGCTATTATTATTGATCAAAACTAATTGATTAAGTAATTGTCTTTAGATGGGGTCTATATAGATATTCTCACAAGAATTCCTACTAAGACTCAACTAGAAATAATCCATCCTACTACAACTAGAATTAGTTCCTTTTCTAGTTTTTACAAGACTTGAGCTCAACTAACTAATCCATCTAGTTATCTATTAATTAAACAAGAAAAGAAATAAAATAAACAAGTCTAACTAATAATTATAAAAATATGAGAAATAAAATAACGAAACTGATATGCCATTGACAAGCTCATTCTTAGTCTTTCCAATTTTCTTCGACTTTTATTTGGTCATTGGTCCCACACGCACTTGCAACATATCTCTAACAGTATAGGGTTGTAGCTTTTTTGGCCACATCTTCCCTCTCTTGAAAGTGGATTAATCCACAAATTGGCACCTCTATCAAAATAATTGAGTAAAACACAGTACGAATTAGGGAATCAAATGACTCACTTACAGGTCTCTTTGTTGTAAGCTTTGCCACCACCAATGAGAAATGCTTGCATAGAGGAACATTCAACAACTATAGCATTTAGTTCCACACTTCAATTCAATTTTAGTAAATCATTCAAGGTACAATTTCATTAGTCATCACATAGTAGATCTTATAGCACTGCTTCTGATTACAAGTTGTGCATTCTCATATGTCTAGCCCACTTGCTCTTGTAATCCTAAATATATGGAATCCATCTGATGGCTCTCATAAACAGCTTCATCACTCTCACAACCAAGATCTCCAAGCCACAATGTTTTGATGTTCTTGTGTATTTCCTCACAATCTACTCTTCTCGTGTACCTCTCATTGGCAAATAATCTCTTCCAAGAGCTTAATCCTCTTTTTCAAGTTCTTGTTGTAGTGAAAAAACTCACAAGGAATTAGGAATCTTTTTGGATAGAATGAGCAACAATTGCTAAATTACAATTATTAAACAAAAAATTATTGCGAGTTTGGTAAAATTCGTGTGAACAAACAAAGAAAACTATGTTATTAATTACGGAACTATCATAGTATTGATTGTTAAATCTTTCTCCATCCTTCCATAGGGTAAAACTTGTGTGTTGAAGTTCAATTTTGAAAATTTCTCCCTTGTTTTTTTTTTTTTTGCTATAATTGTTTTTATATGTTTTGCAGCTGGTGGTTTGGGTCATGGTGTGGCACATGCTGTATTTTTCTGCCTCAGTCTATTGACTCCTGCGTTTGGGCCAGCAACATATTATGTACAAAAGTGCTCTCAGCTTCCCTTTTTCCTTGTATCTGGTAAAGTTACTCGTTGCTTTTCACTCATTAAAAAGAAATGTGAAGAAAGAGGATTTCATATGTTTGTGTGTGAAAAATCATATATACAAGGCGCTTTGTATATACACACTAAGGAGATGAGTAAGCTTAACCCATCACTACAACCCTAGTGTTAGGGTTAGCATATTCAATACTTCTCGTTATGTTGTTCCATATAGGTCATATGCCCCAAGCTTTTAACAAATTAACATATTCTAGGACCTTTAAGAGATTTAGTAAGATTGCTTGCCAATTGATCAATAAGTTGAAAACTTGAAGTAATATAACTGAACATGATCTTCTCCTTGAGAATGTGCATTGCTTCTTGGCTATCACATATCATTTTCATTAGTATTGCATCTCCATATTGTAACTCCTAGAGTAAGTGGTTCAACTTTCAACCATAAAAGTTCACACATCACGGCCATAACATGGTACTCAACACCAACACTGGATCTTGTGACAAAATCTTGCTTATTCTTCCAAGATACAAGGTTATCTTCAATGAAAAAAAGTTTCTAGAGGTGGAATGCTTGTCAAATGGAGAACTTGCATGGTAGCACCTGAGTATCTAATAGCCTAAGATGGCCTTTGTCTTCATAAGTTCATAAAGTAGTCCTTTGTCGTTGTGTCTTCTTGATGTACCGCACGATGGAAAGTTGCAAACAACATTGCAATGTTTGTCACATGGAGCTTCAAGAAACTAACTTGGCACACTTATCACAAAGGATTAGAAAGGCATTGAGTATTGATTAGAAAATAATAGCGCTATTGTAGCTGGGCAAGAATCCGTTCTTGCTGGAGGATACTTTACAGTATCCTTGTTTGTCCCTTTTCATTTTAATCCCATCATTTCTGCATTGTTTCTTCCTCATCTGCTCTTTACTCTTAACAATTTCTCACCTGACATTATTGGACAAACAATGAATTTTAGTTCCTTTTTCTTTTTGCTCTGCTTATGCAGCCTCATCTACCATTCACTAGGGAAGTTAAAAATCTTATATGGGTGGGAAGTGTCTAGGATGTTTATCTTGAAAGCTTGGTGGTAGAAAGGGTTAACTATTCTTGCTTAGTGGTGTTATTTCTCTGTAACTTTGGAGTTTGTTAACTGCCATTCTTTGTATTGTGAAATGCAGCAATTATAGCTCTTGCATTTGTTACCATCCACACCTTTTCAATGGTCATTGCGTTCAATGGATATGCAGAAGGAAATAAAGTAGACCAATGTTTTGTTCCTGTTGTGCATTTAGTTGCTGGCATGCTGGTAAGTGCCTAAGATAGGATGCATTAGTTTACCTTTTTTATTTTTGGGAGGATTGAGTCTATGTTAAAGTTTGAAGGTGTACAAGTATAAGAATCACGGGAATATTAAATAGCAATTCTGAAGTGTAGTTTATTATGAAGAATACATTTTTGGTAAAATGGTACCTCAAGTTTCCTTCTACTAACCTGTGGTTTTATCACTTTATGTTAGACCATGACAAATCTAGCAGTTGGAGGTTGTGTTATTGGAATACCACTTCTGTATTGTGCTGCAATCGTAACACTGGTACATTGTGGGAAGATGGTGTTTAGGAGATTGACAGAAAATCAGAGCAGGCTGGGAAACTCGTAACAGTAGTCTTAAACAAGCGAACTCATGTATTTGCTGAAGTAAGTGTTCTCTGTTATGAACAAAGCACCTCAGTTCAACATTATGCAATGTCCTTCAGGCTAAGTAGCTAACCTTCCCCTTCTTGCTCAGCTTGTCATTTAATTATTATTATTTTTTGCTTGTTATACAGCTCTGTACGAATGGTAAATAGATGGTGTTTGATAGAGTGGTAAATGAGATTATACATTTGGGAGGGGACTGAACCTAGTACATCTTGCATTATTCTACAATGTGTAAGGAAAATAGACAGCAAGGATTGATATGCTTTTAGTACTAAAAGTTATCTTTTGGGCTCTCTCTGTAGTTTTGCATATAAAATTTTATGAATATCTTGCGTCTTCCCAGAATCAAATTTATTAATGTGACTTGAAGCATCTTTTAAATTTAACTTCATGTGTGTGTCTTAGTATTTTTGGAAGGTAAATATTCATTCACGGGATGAGTCTACTGCATGATACATATGGGCCCTATTTGGTAAAATAGTTAGCCTATAAGTCAATTTTGACTTATTTGATCGAAACCAGAACCTTTTGGGTTCCAATTTATTCTTAAAGTACACGGTTTGATTCGAACCAAATTGTAGTCATCCATAGATAAAAGACAATGGCAAAGACTTTCGCCCATACAATTAATAAAATATAATATGGCACGTACCGGGTTAGCTCACTGGTTTAGTATGCAGTAACTCGGCGATGGTAGTGTGGAAATTATGTCTAAAGTGGACAGATCTCATGTGATATTTGACCATGTTTGTTGAGCTACTAAGTTAGGTCATGTTTGTTGAGTCACTGTATTACCATAATTTACATCTTTCAAATGTTTTGACAGGCTGGAGTGTGGAAGTCCTTGAGATTAGGGATTCAACCCTTTGAAGAAGAAAAATATAATATGATACAAATGATCGTCAAACCCTTTAAACCAAATGCTAATGTCGTACCGAAGTATAATACAAGGTAAATATATTAATGACATTGCAGTTCAGTATTATACACGAGTTTAAGATAGGAAATTACAAGTTTAATGTATCCAAATTTATAGTACTCCATCAGTTTTAGTGCTTTACTTTATTTATTCTATTTACCTCTTTTTAGAATAATAACAATTTTGAAAAAAAAAAAAAATTGTATAATCCGTCCTTAACCTAAGATTAAGGATTCGATCCTTGACTTTGGGTATGGAACAACCTTAAATCTCCAGGCCAGCTGTCTCACCTAATAGAGGTGCTTATAATTCAGCGATGAAACTAATCACTGTATTCGACGGTGAAAATCATGAGCTACACCCAAAAAGATTTTGCACAATCCAGTATCTTGCTTCCGTCTCCCAAAAGATTGAATCCCAAGAGAATGTATATCACGGTATCACGGTGACAGTATCTTGCTTCTTGGCGAAGGCTATAGCTGATTTCAATTGAAGAGAAAGAGAAAGAGGGGCTTCCGCGACATTTATCCCTTCCTTTAAGAACAAGTATTAAAGCTGATGAAGAGAACTCAAAGAATGAGAATATCTTTCTGCACTTCCATAAAGCCATACCTTTTCTTCTCATTCCACTGTACTCTTCCATATAAAATTTGGTTTTAGAAGTAGATTTACAATTCATATGACATATAAATCATGAATCAGCTTTGTCTATACATTTCAATTGTAAACTATTATTGTCTCAAATCATTTAAGCCTCAACAAATATGTCTAACACCCCTCCACCACCCCCTGCCACCGAAGGAGCCAATGAAGCCCCAACCTTCCCGAGATATTGGTGCTACCAATGTCATCGGGCGGTTAGGATCTCATCCGATAACCCATCTAACCTCATCTGCCCCCGGTGCTCAGGCCAATTCCTGAGTGAGATTGAAGAATCAAATCCTTCTCGCAATATTTTCGACTTTACTGCATTTGATCCTTCCCCTGAAGCTCGAGTTCTAGAAGCACTAACCCTCATGCTTGATCCTACTGCCCTTGCACATTTTCGAACAATTCGGGCTAATCAACCATTTGATGGGTCAGAAGATAATAGAGTTCCTAGCACAAGTGATGTGAGAAATCCAGTCCCCAGACTTCTATTGCCTCTTGGTAGACAACATAGAGAGCCGGAGGTTGGAATTCGAAGCCGACTTTGGCCAAGGAGGAGAAGAGCTATGCACCAAGAAGATTCTGATGATGAGTGGACACCAGCAAGTGGGATTCTAGCTCGCCCTAGGCATTGGATAATTATACGACCAACAGGATCAGATGGTAGACAAGGAGGATTGGTACCGGTAGGTGTGAATCCTCGGGACTACTTTTTTGGGGCAGGACTTGGGGAGCTAATCGAAGAGATTACTCAAAACGATAGGCCTGGTCCTCCTCCAGTGCCTGATGCAATTATTGACACAATTCCAACAGTGAAAATCACAACATCCCACTTGGAAGGTGATACTTCAGACGAGTGTCCTATTTGCAAGGAAAAATTCAAGGTTGGGGCTGAGGCAAGGGAACTGCCTTGCAAACACATATACCATTCTGATTGCATTGTCCCCTGGTTGAGGCTTCACAATTCTTGCCCCGTTTGTCGCAAAGAGCTACCACTTCAAGGTATCGAAGAGGTAGAAGAAGAAGAAGAAGAAAACGAAGAAGAAGAAGAAGAATCTGAAGAGGTGACTAGTAGGGGCCAAAGGTGCATGAGGTTGAGACGACAACTAGCTTCTTTATGGCCTTTCCGATCCAGATATCGACGCATTCATACCCATGGCAACAATGCTACTGGGATATCTCGACGGGGAACTAATCGCGATGGTGAGAATCGTTAATTCTACTAAACACATACCATCCTATTCCCCATTGCTGCAATATGTGTATATGATGCAACACAGCCTAATAGTTAGTTATTCATATTCAAATTTCAACAAAAAAGAATAATAATAATAATAATAACAAAAAAAAAAAAAAAAAAATTAGCAGCTGAACAACTTTCTAATGAACAACTTTTGCCTGCCAATTCTTAGCAGCTGATTCATGGTGGCATTCTTGTAATATCCTGTAGCCTCTCTAGAGATTAGAGGGACTAAGAATAATGAAGAATTGATTCCAGATGTTCTTATAAGGTAAGCTGCTTTATAAGGAGTATTATTTGCATCCCTCTGTCTTTTCCCCCACCCCAAACTTCACTATGTGATGTAAATGTTTGAGGAAGGGGTAAAGAAACACCACAAAATACAAGTATTTCACAAAGAAAGGTCAAGCGCCTTCAAATGTATTAAAAAGATAGAGGTGGAGGAGACAGCAATTTCTTTGATAGCTTCATTCCATTTCCATCAATCACTGGCGGGAGGAAAAAGACTAAAAAGAGGAGGGGGCCGGGTGGGTGGAATGAAAAAAGTTCTATTTCTTCATGAAAGACATTAGCACACTTACGTTCAGTATATTCGTGCAAAATCAGAAACTGAATTCAAATTGCAAACATCATCACTAGAATCTCGATCTATGACTATTAATGCTTTCAAACTCAAACAAGAACAGTTGTTAACATGAGGAAATGATGATATTGTACCATTTAGACCGTATCAGCATCCTTGAATGAGCCTCTTGTATATTATCAAGAATCCCAGTCACCAATACTGCCTACAAACAAAGGAAATAACTAAGACAAAGCCCATCATTTGACCTTTAAGATAAAAGGGAAAGATTATGGGAACTTAACAAAAACATTATTTCATTTTAGAAAGTGTAAAGCAGCATAAAAAAATATGGCAGGCATGCATAGTACAGAAATGTTGAGAAGCCATGTGGCAGGAATATATATATATATATATATATATATATATATATATATATATATATATATATATATATACTACTAAATTTTTTTTTTTTTAAAAAAAAAAAGCCAATTAGACTGCTAGCAAATGGAGCTGCCAAAACTATGTTCAGATAGCATAAAGCAGTGCCAAAGCTGCAAAGCATGCACAGATTGGCTTCATTTCTTTGTTTGGTTTGCATCTCTGCACTTGTGAAAATAAACTAACTACTCATCCTATACACAACTATTTTCATTACGATAGAGAATTCTGGGGAAGCAGAAAACAGTAAGTATGGCAAAGCAAGATGGATGTCCTATCACCGAAGCCCTTGGAAGCATGTTAAATATGGTGTATCTTGTCCTTATAGGTTGTAACAGTTGGCTATGCTTCGAGTGATCGATGGAACTCCAAAAAAGTAGGGGAGAGAAGATATGGTTATGCTCCAAGTGGCAGCAAAACCCCCCAAAAAAAGACAAGATCCAGAAACTAGAAGACAGATTAATATTCCTGGTCATGTACAACTATATAAATAAGTGAATGCTAAGTTTAAGGGATAAGGAAGATAACTAATCCTAATAAATATTAAATAATACAAATTAATTAATATTTAGTGATAACTTTCTAATGCATGTCGCACCACTCACTCCACATTCCCCTGCTTTGTCTCAACCACTAAGCGCATCAGCTTCACATCTGATCTTTTCTATGTTTCATCACCTTTCAAATCCAATTATAGTTTTTCCTCAGAATTTATGACTCAGGTACAAACAATTTACATTCTAACAAACTTCTTTTTCTTTCCCCCAATATGTTTGGTACCCAAAAGCAAAATTGGCTCTAAAATATTGTCCATAGTATATGTGATGAGGAAGTTTATGCATTAATAGAAAAGACACCCTCAATTTGGAAGACCTAAACAAAAGGAAATACAAAACTAAACTAGAGCTAGAACACTGATAATCAGAACATATGGAGTTCAACTGTTCAAGTCTACTTGCAGAATCATGTGCAAATTGTTTATAATAAGAAAGATGAGGCATCAGCAGTACCAGAAATGTAATGTAAAAATCCAACAGATTCAGATTCAAAAAGAATTTTGATTTTTTACTTCTTTGGCCCAGCCAATAGCTTCTTCCAAAAGCCTCAATAGGGAGTGTTATAATCTAAGGTTAGGCCAAAGTCACTCAACTAGGCTATAATGCACATGGGCCAAACCACACTAAAAGATTGAATCCAATCAATTAGCTAGTCTAACCCATGGCCTTATAAACCCATATGTTCTCTCTTATTTTTTCAATGTGGGGCTCTTAACAGGGAGCTTATTGAAAAAGCTGGCGTATTCCTCTTAAGACTTATCTGGCCTAAAAAGCCTTTTTATATGCTTACTGTTGGTGCACATTCTACTTTTTGGAGCCTATAAGCTCCAGAGTTGAACCAAACAATAAGCTCAAAGATACAAATACTAGAAAGAAATTTCAAACCAAATGTGAGGAATACCATAATCCAATTACCTGCTTGTTTCATAGCCGCTTTGGCTGTTTGCAAGTACCAGCAGCAAATCCTTCAGTATATGCCACATTCTTGAACATTGTCTGCACAGTGGCAGAAAAGTTTAATGCTGAAAGGAACTTTGTGAACTTTAAAGAAAGACATCTAAAATTTAATGTAGCACAATAGTACCAAATAATATTGCCATGGATACTAGTGCTTGTTAGTTTGACATAAAATGTACACTAGCAAATATAAGCAGTTAATCTTCTTTGTTTGGTACATCTGATGGGGAATAGGGGTGGCAAGATTAAACCTAGGACTAGTGCATGGAAAAGGATGAAACTTATCCCTAAGCTACACCCTGAACCCCATGAGCCTCTATGGAAACACATATTCACAGCATCTCATGCAAGAACAATGAAAACAAAATTACATCTATTCTAGAAAAGGATGTATATAACAAATGGTCAATAAGGCAAATGTAACTAAAAACCACATTAAAAGAATAATGTTCGCAAATCACAAAGCTGTCATTCTTATCATTCAAAAAATAATACACAGGCACGTAAAGGTTTGCTTCTACACCATAATTTCACGCCAACCAGATTCTTATGGGTATAGATTGTCTTTGTCTATTAACAGAATCTATTCTATAGCCAACTAAACTGAAAGCAAAAATTCTTCAAACAAGATGTGAAGACTACTCAACTTCAAACTATACTTAACAAACATAAAAAGTTTGTTTGATTTTAATATTTCTTATTTCTTTTCAACTATACAGATGGCCCTCCCAACAACCTAAGTTTAATAAACTTGAAAAAAAAAAAAAAAAACAAGAAGACGTAAAAGTGAGTGTGATTACTCACAGCCATGCTCTCCAGCTCCTCTGAAAGCCTTTTCCTAAGATCAGCAACTAATGCACTGCCAAGTTGATCCCCATCTTGCTTTGCATTCTCCACTTTGATCTGTATGTTTTATTTCTCAAGATCTGAAAATGTTTTCACTCCATATAAAGGCTAATATTAATGAATTCTAAATATTCTACTCACCTCTGAGAGAATTATAGCAGATGTTTTTTCCAAGACTTCTTCCACAAATTTGTTAGGATCAGCAAAACTATTTGCCAGGCCCAAAACATTTGTTGATTTCTTTTGTGAATCTACTGATGGCTTGACAGCTTTCACTATTAACAAGAAGCATATATTTTAAGTCTATGGATCAACGAATCCCGCCCAGAATGACTAGAAAGGAGAGGCGAAAACTCAAAAGGTTTGCTATAAAGTACTATTTGTTAATCAAGTCAACTAGAGCTCTGCAGGGTCCAGACAGACTGACTAAAATAGTATTACATAATCCTATTGTAGCATATGGGTGTTATTGAAGTAGAACACTCAGACATAGTAATAAGCATCAGGGTATCACTAGGAAAATAAAGGCAACACGGAAACTTATAGAAGTGTACAACAGCTCTCAGTCTTTCAGCAATTGTTCAATTAATTAATGTGTATTATGAAATTATTTCATATGCAAAATACAAAGAAAAAAAACAAAAACAAAAACAAAAACAAAAACAAAACGAAACAAAAACAAACACAAACCAACAAACAAAAAACAAAAAAAAACAAAAAAAAACACCATATCACCACAAATAGAGTAACCATTGAGAGTAAGAGAATAGCCAAGAGTATCCCTAAACTTGAGCCTAGACAAGCGAGCCTAGGCAACTTGTTCAAAATCAAGTTTAGGAATACTAGAAGTGTTAGGAGTTAATTAATTACTTTAGTTAGTTTCCAGTCTAGGACTCTAGGATTATTATAGGTCCCATAGTTCAGTGATAATTTCACTTGGAACCCCTGAGATTTGGGCTAGTAAAAGCATTACACCTGTACCCCCTATCCACTCTAAAAGGAAGGGTTTTCCCAATTTTGCACTTCAAAAAACCAATCATGGAATACGATTATATGAATACACATTAAGGACTAAAGTAAATAGAAAATGAAAGCCCAGGCACATTTTTTAAACAGGAGGGGTCAAAATGTTACTGGCCAAAACCTCAGAGGGTCCAAGTGAAATTATTCTTTAGCATTAATATCCCACATTCCCACAATATCATAATACTCTACTGGTTCAATTTTTTTACTAGTAATATTCAATGAATTCAAAATGTATTCGAGTTATATTCATTATAATATTTTCTCTCTTGTTATTGATTTATTATCTTTATTGCTTCCGCCTTACTGGCAGAAGGTTGCTGGACCACCATTTATGATTTCCAGCAGATATAATCTATAATCTCATTTAGCAATGGCAATTGGCAAGCCTGGCTATGTTGGCTTAACTATCTTAGTCAAACTCAATCGCCATTCTAGGCTGACCAACATTCAACTTCATTGTTTGCCACAATTACATATTCAAGGCTTCATCACAAATAGTTGCATTTTATGCAGTTACATAGTTCTGAAAATTACAGAAGGTAGCAAAGCCCATCTGCAACTTCTCATCACATGGGACAAAGATCACAGGGGCGAGGGTCTTACTACTATCAAATACAGAATGACTAGCTGCAAGTCAAAAAGCTGCAAGGTTCTAGGAACCCTAGTTATCTGAATAGAGACAACCCTATATTAGCCATTTTCTTTAGCATACAACAGTGTCAAATAGCACATAACAATGATTAGTTTGGCTGAATCTGTATGTCAGTGGTCCAAAAGGGCCCTATTGAGTTGATTTGACCTTAGCAAATGGACTTCATACTTACCAGGCTTAAAAAAGAACTACTTGCACAGCATACCAGTTGCAAAATTAAGCTTTGGACCACCCAATTGATTATTAGGTGTTCTAAATTCTTGTTTCTATGGAGCTTTGTAAGTTACACTTCATAGGTACATGAGTACATGACATAACTGTAACAGTGCCAAACTGTCATCTACTCTTTAGTAAAGTAAGGAATGTCCAACTGTTGTCTTATAGTAAAGGGAACACTGGAAAGACTATCCAAGGATTTTG